GCGCATCGCTGCACAAGGACAATGGACTGTATAGTTTGTGGTATTATTTTATTATTGCTTGTTAGTAGCAGTAGGTCTTAAGTATTTCCCTTTATTATCTAAGTTAGTCCTTATAGACCTTAATGATTTTGTCTCGTCAGGTGCAGATTTATAAAAAAAGCTATATAATAAATTCACGGTATGGAGGGATTCCCACAGAAGCAGATGATAATTAATTAGACTATTGTAAATCTAACACGAATAGACGCAGTATTTCCCCTAAACGCCCACTATTATAAGACCTGCCTGATGTACACAAATTGAACATTTCAGTAACGGAAAACCTTGAGATAAACACTAAAGAACAAAGTCACTCGTCGAGAAGATTTTTGTATAGAACGACACGTCAACTTTTCATTCGCTCCAGTAGAGAAGAGAGGTATTATAATTGTAACCGCATTGTACCTATAATTGTAACTTTACTAACATTTTCACACGTCTTTACATGCAAACAGTATCAATTGTGTACTCGTTTGTGTCCGAAGATAAACAGATAACACCTGTACCACGACCTTCGACACTTCACTCAGAGATTCGCCTTCATGATAACCCAAACATAACGGGTGATGAAAGTAGTTGCCATTTTTAACAATATTTGTTGCTAATGGTGAATTTTAACCGATTTCATAATGCATAAATAGGTAAATTGTAAACAAAATTAGTCAATAAGTAATCTACAGATTGATCGGTTGTTGAAGATAGCCGTAAGCCAGCTAAATTTAGAATGGATTTCGTTACTTTCTCCCAAAAAAAGGGAGACCGTATTCCAAATGTAGAAATTGTCCAAGTACTAACTAGTCGTAATGTGTCTAGCAAATGAATAAAGTCAGCGTAATGCCAGGAGACCAAGAGATCTGACAGATCTGATATCTGTCCTAAAACTTAAACCGCTAATCAATATTAGGATAGGAAGTAAACACATAGCCACGAGTCAATTTGTTTGTAAGTACACCCTAAAATCAACCCAATATGAGGAAAAACATATCCTACTAAATTCTGAGTAAACATCTGTAAACAGAAAACACCCATTTAAGTCCAATATAATGCAATTAGAAGATCTTACCCACGTGCCACACAAGAGTGGTAGAACCCCTGACATTGACCGAGAACAATTAATGAACCATTTATCGATGACCTATGGATACTAAATCAGTCGCTTCCTGGTTGAAGGTGACACAACAGGATGATAGATTCAGTGCACAATTCCAAACAGTTATTTGGTAGCTCGTTGATCTTAATTGACTTCTGTGCAAGATGTGAACAGCTGATTATGATTCATTTGTTATGTTACTAGCCGGTGCCTTTAGCCAAATGCTACTTTAACGCTTGTCTACAGAGAGAATAGAAAACTAAATGTATGGGAATGACACTGACAAGTGTCAAATTTTACGTCAATTCCGAATAATTTGGTTTTGTATTATACAAGTAGACAAAAGGTTTTAAAAAATTCTTAGTAATAGCACGGAGTCTGGAATTGTGCCAGGTATTTGGCAATAGGCTCACTCCCTATTACATGGGACTCATAACATAAATAGTGAAAAGTGGGTGTTACATTGTACAATGGCATAATGTGCACCTCTGCCTACCCCTTCGGGGATAAAAGGCGTGATGTTATGTGATGACCATTTGTAACAATAATAGTGTCACTTCCTATGACTAACAACTACATTTTCTAATCAAACCAGTGTTAGTTACTATTAAGTACTAATAACTAATTTACTGCCTCGTTGACTGAGTGTTCGCAAGTGCGACTACCAGCCATCAGACCACCACAGATGGGGCCCAACAGGGCCGATGCCGATTCGGAGTCGCGGAGAACCTAACGGATTACCGGGGCTCCGGCTCGATGTGCAGGAGAAGGAACGGGGTGGTTTTTAGTAATAGTCTGACACTCCTTCTCGCCTCACCCAGGCGGGAGAAGTCATTCGATGATTTTCCCCCCTTAAAAAAAGGCAGAGGGTCTCGGGTTCGATTCCCGGGTCGGGCAAAGTTTTACTGGGTTTTTATAAAAATGCACAGTAGTAGCACGAGGTCTATCTTTTTTGCTTTAACAAAAAAGATTGTATTATTTCATTTTATCGCCTCAAAATGTAAGTAAATAACTGGCTTCATATTTAATTATTTACAATTTTCATATTTCTTCAACATTGAACAAATAGGAATTGTTTATAAAGAAGGGGCAACGACATTTTGTCTGTTGTATTGTATTCAAAACAAGAGCCGAGACTGATAAAATTGTTTAGAATTTCCTGCGATAACTGAATCATTATTAAAATATTAATTATGTTTTTAAATTAACGAACTAGACTGTCCATTGATTGAGAAATTGAAAGTGTGAATGCCAAACAAGCGGTTTTAAGTTCGATTCCCGGGTAGTTCTGGCCTATAACAAAATTGTTGTTTAGGTGGGTGTATTATTTCATCGCTTACTCAACCCGAGAATTTTTTGAAAGATTTTTTATATTTATTTATTTTTGTTATTATTAAACACAATGCCCGGTATATGGCAATAGGCTCACCCCTATTACATGGGACTCGTAACATAAATAGTGAAAAGTGGGTGTTACTTCTGTGTGCACCTCTGCCTACCTCTTCGGGGACAAAAAGGCGTGATGTATGAATTATAAACGTTCACAATGTGCCATTTGTTACAGATGTAAGGTTCAGAAGTGGTAACTCCTGTTAACCTCTGTAATAAATTAATTAACACATCCTGTATAACAGTAATTAAAATACAAGTCATTAACATTGTATTTTCGCTGAGAAATTGTACGCCAAGTGCGATATGTTGCAGATGTTTTAACATGGAGAGAATTTTAATAATTGATTTAACTATTTAAGTTCAATTAGATTAGGATTTCAAATTCATTTATAATAATTTTCACAAAACTCTTTAATCCCCAACCGGTGACCACTCTCCACTAACTACAATATAGACCTTGTTTCCGATGTTTAGAGACTACTTTTGTATAAACAAATTTAGAGTACGATATTTCAACAGGGTAAGACATATCATTTCACGAATCATTCTACTAGCAAAGTCTACCAAAAAAACACTATTCACATGTTACATTTTCAGAGAATTTCAAAACTCACTTACTTTGCCCAAAACGTTCATAGCTTTCAGTTTTAATATTAATAATAAAACGCTAAATTATAAATTACCCACAAAATATTAAAAAAAGATAAAACACAAATTACATTTTAAATAAAAACAGCTGTTTAGCCAATGATACAGCATATTTCAATATTATCGAGACTATAACCAAATATTTAACTTCCACCTTATCTTTGTCGTAACAATGTATTGTTTACTATGATAACACCTATCATGGCGGAACACTTTTTAATTCTATGAAAAAAATACGGCCGAATACCTACTGAAAGGCTACATTTTAAGTTGTACTTAAATATCTTGCCGTCTCTGTCATTTCACAAAGACACAAGTAATGACATCACGCCTTTTATCCCCGAAAGGGTAGGCAGAGGTGCACACAGAAGTAACACACACTTTTCACTATTTATGTTATGAGTCCCATGTAATAGGGGGTGAGCCTATTGTCATATACCGGGTACATTTCCAGATTCCGTGCTACTACTGAGATTTTTTTTAAAAACCCGGTACTACTTTGCCCGTCCCGGAGATGGAACCCGAGACCCCTTGCCCGGCAGTCGCACTTGCGACCACTCGGCCAACGAGGCAGTCTAATTCTCAGAATCATAATTCTCAGAATTTGTAGTTCTAGGACTAAACAAAAGCGCGACTTAAAATTAAGTAGCGTATGAAATTTTTTTTTAAGATTTGAAATTTATGACTGCTCCCGCCTGGGTGAGGCGAGAAGGAGTGTCAAACTCTTACTGACTAAAAACCACCCCGTTCCTAATCCTGCACGTCGAGCCGGAGCATCGGCAACCCGTTAAGTCCTCCGCGGCTCCGTTAGCGTTTGATTATTTGGATAATAGATCTTTTTATATTTACTCACGGCTACACATAAAGCTATATAAATCCAATTTATCATGTCTCACTTTGTATGGTCTTTAAGTACGTTCAAGAGTCAGTTTATACTGCTTTTACATAGCTATATGTACCTCACTATAAAGAAGGTCTATAGACAAAAAGACTCGACCTTGATAATGACACTGGCTACCGATATTCAGCTATTAATGGTCATGAATCGGTGTATTAACTATTCGAAGAGTATCTAACAAAAATAACGAGTTAAAAATTCCACGATACGTATGTACTTCATTCATCTGTCGTCACCACAACACGCTAGCTGCATAGACTAAATTAATAACATAAACATAACATCACGCCTTTTATCCCCAAAGGGGTAGGCAGAGGTGTACATTATGCCACTGTGCAATGTAACACCCACTTTTCACTATTTATGTTATGACTTATGAGTCCCATGTAATAGGGGGTGAGCCTATTGCCATATACCGGGCACAATTCCAGACTTCGTGCTACTACTGATTATTTATAAAAACCCAGTAGTACTTTGCCCGACCCGGGAATCGAACCCGATACCCCCTGACCGGCAGTCGCACTTGCAACTACTCGGCCAACGAGGCAGTCTATACTAAGTTAATAAATGCGAAGGTAATCCTACTTTAATATCAGTTATACTTTTTAATGAAATTCTGTGCAACAATAAAAAAGACATTGGGATATCCTAACTATCCTACGACTGCAAAATTGTAGACAAAAGCTAAGTAAGATACAAGAAGTCATAAAAACAATTGCATGTCAATCTAATACTTAATATAATAAAGCTGAAGTTAGTTTTTTTGTTTGAACGCGCTAATCTCTGAAACTACCAGTCCGATTTCAATAATTCTTTTTGTGTTGGATAGTATATTTATCGAGGATGGTTATATGCTACAAAACATCACACTACGATCATTAGGAGCCGAGCAGAAGTGCAAGTACAGTATAAAATATTAAAAATTCTACTCACCACATGTGGAGTTTCCTGTGTGTACACGATGACATTGCCAAAGGTCTCTGTCAGCAGAGCCAAGTGCAGTGTAAGAGCTATGGTCAGCATTGTGTCTACGTTATGTGTGCTTCCACACTGTACTGTCTCAAGTCTCAAGCGCTCCTACGCAGGTTCGTGTAGGCCGATGAGGTAGTTGCATGGTTTATACCTGAAACAAAAAATGTTCAAAGTCAAAATGATATTATATGTATATTAGTTAGACCAAAGAGGAGATACCAGAAGACAGGGACGCCTGAGAACAAGATGGAGTAACAATGTCCGATTAGCACTAGGTCCATACTGGACTAGAGCTGCAGAGGATTGAGCAAATTGGAGAGAGCTGGCTGACAAGGCCTATGCCAAAAGTCACACTGAAGTGTGAGACATAATTTAATTTAAGATAATTAACCGACTTAATCAAACTATAAACAAGATTTGGATTAACTCGTCGAGTACCGGTTTTATAGACACAATTAAAGAACAATAGGTCGCGGTCACCGGTGACCGCTTGGTGTTTGACAGATTAAGAGGGCTTTATTATTATTATTTTAGACTATTACCAAGATATTTGATCTATCCAATAATTTCTGAAATTCCAAGTCTATAGTAATTCTTTATTGATCTGTTTCAGATTTTTGAAATAAACTGTCAAACACCGTGAGGACTTCAGTGACCGCAATCTATTGTTCTTTAATTGTGTCTATAATGACGGTACTCAAAGATTTAAATTATTCAATTAAACTGACATAAAATAAATAGTAAGTCAAAAACATTTCCTGGATAAATATATTGACAATTGATCTTTTGCACAGGTGTAATATGCATGTATAAACCATCCTTAAGAAATAGTCTATCTGTTACAGAAAACCCCATTAAAATCCGTTGCATAGTTTTAAAGATCTAAGCATACATAGCGACAGATGGACAGCAGATAGCTACTTTGTTTTATACTATGTAGTGATGATAAGTAAAATTTTGGTCATAAGTTTTATTATGGGAGTCCCTAATTCGACAAGACACAACAATAATAAACTCAAAAAGATAATTATGTGACAACTTCAAAGCAAATAACAATTTTCCTCTAAAACTGTACATTTAGACAATCAGATCATAATACTTACACACATATTGGATAACAAGTCCAAGTCACAAGCAAGAAATATAATTTGCACTCACAAAACCTATTAAACTGTCAAACACCGCGAGGACACCGGTGACCGCAACCTATTGTTCTTTAATTGTGTCTATAATGACGGTACTCAAAGTATTAAGTATTATTTTATATGAAAATAACAAACACTTAATTCCAAGGACAAATTTCACAGTTGTACTGTTTACGAGTTAGTACTATTTCAGTTTAGACTGTAAATCTGCAGTATGCAAAGAGTATAATCCAGTTTGATCAGAGACACAAACACTTTAGCAAGTGAACCCCTACAGCCCTTTAGTTTAATATTTATACCAATCCTATGTCAATTCATTAGATAATGATACATTTCATTAATTAGAGTGTGAGTATAGAAATTAGTACATTTTTTGTAAATAAGTAATTAACAAAATTAGCACATTAAAAATAGGAAACCAAACAAATGACTTGTTTGTTTTGGTTAAAAATGTAATTAAACTGTCAAACACCAAGCGGTCACCGGTGACTGCGACCTATTGTTCTTTAATTGTGTCTATAAAACCGGTACTCGACGAGTTAAGCTATTAATTGTTTAGAATTGTAATTGGTTTTTATGTAATTTAGTTATTATGGATATTAAGTGCAAAGGGGTTAATATACTTTATGGTATTAAAAGCAATAACAGCATGTTTATTAATAGCTGAGCATGGTAAGTACTGACTACTTTGTTTCTGGTTGACACTATATGATCACAAAGAGACATGTTACTCATACATTAATTAGAACAACATATTATTGTTACATTACTGTGAAATCTATAAAAGTACAGTTCAAGCTAATTACACACACTATCTAAGCTTTATCTGCAGTTGTCAATTTGGTCACTATGTCAGGGATGTGTCAGTCAATAAAATAGGTAATTTAATAAAAATATTTACACTGTTGGAACTCGTTTGACAAGTGTTTTGCCAACCAGCCACGATCAACCGTAAAATGATGCACAAAGGAAATGTTTTGCTCGTGATAACGACACTGTTTCGTAATCAAAACATTGTTTCTCCAAAGAAAAAACAACTCACTTCAAAAGTAAAACATTTTAGCAAACAATTTAATTTAATTATTCGTTGCGACAAGTGTCGGCCTTGGATCACGTGTTTATCGACAACAATAACTTCCTGCGATGTCTACACACAAAATAGAATACAGAAAAATAACATGGATACACGCATAAAGTGTTCGAACTGTTTGTTCCACAAAACAATACTTACAAATTGCAAGATGAAAATATCTCCCCTGTTTTTGTCAGAATATAATAAGTTTGTCAACAATACACTTTATCATAAGAATTTAGACGAAACTAAAGCGAAAAAATAATAATTACGACTAATTCATTCCTTCTTCTCAGCAGGAAAATTAGCGAAACGTCAAAATCGTGTCCGTTCTGAAACTGCATGAATTGTATTACGATTCATATAACAAAATATATCTATCTGAAAAACACCGTACAATTTTTTGCGAATACAATTATTAAATCGAGATTTAAAATGTAGAAGAAAAAGAATATGAATATTATAAAATGCATAATATAACTTCTATTTCTCTTTATTCTGAACCTACAAAGTGAACAGTTACAATACTACAAGGCGAAATATTCAGAACGCACCATGAGCTCATCGTGTGTTTGACGTTTATATTTTTTTTTACTTGTTCCAATACTAGTCTTTCAAGTAAAGTATTCCTACTAAAGCGATACTCAGTATTGTGCATTTAATTACTTCAAAAATGCAATAGTCCAATTAAGGAGGGAAATATGGGGGCTACCTGGAAAGTTTTCCAGGAGTTTTAAATATCATCAATTTAATAGATTTTGATGTGTTATTTTTTCGATTTCCATTTTGCACCTTTGTACTTGCGCCGCTTGCATCGCCATCTTAGTAAAATGGCGGCCAAACAATTTTCTGTGCATATTACAAGAAAACCGTTAACTACAAAATTAAACTAAGCTTACAATTTTCTGCAATTTATGTCTTGATAGCTTTTTTGTAATAACTTTTGTAACATCTTTTGGCGACACAACACCGCAAAGCACATTTTGGCGAGCATTTTGGGAAAAAATAATCCCACACCACGTGCAAGTAGAGCAAGGTGCATTTTTTTATAGTGTGATATAGGTAATAATTTATACAAAGGTTCAAAATGGAAATCGAAAAGAGCACATCAAAATCTATAAAATTACCGATTTTCAAAACTCCCAGAAAACATACCAGTTAAAACTACCAAATTACTGAATTAAAATGTAAGTAGGTAATGAAACTGTAGTACGGGTAACCTATCATAAGAGCCGACCACATAAGCATAGTACATAATTGTTTAATACCGACTGGCTAGCAGCTACAGTCCTTCATAATAAACCCAAACTTTTTAAATTGCTTCCAATCAGGGCAATGGGCTTGGTGATTATGGCAAACTATCTCATTACGTAGGCAACTCCTACATGGAGCTTTTTTTTTGAGGGGTAAAATAATCCAATCTTTTTTTTTTACTTCTTCTGCCCCCGGGTCAGGACTAGACTGTGCTCCCCGTGCTACCCGTGCTCGCCGTCGGCAGGCCCGTGCTTACAGTGGCCGGAGATCGTCTCACGATCCCCGACGACCGGAGTGTCTCTCGCAACGGCTGAGGCGTGAGGAGGTTCGTTTCCTAACGCGCCCCGCCTCCTCCTTAGATAGCATGACTGCTTTGCAGAAGGAGGAAACGCCATCCCATCGCTCTGTACCTTGGTCTGAACCAGAGCCGGACGCGAGAGGTCGCCGTCGCCGATCACATCCCTGAGAAAACGGCGGTGCTCAGCCCACGCAGGACACACTGCCACCGTATGCTCCACCATGTCCTCCGGGCGGTCCCGCAGTGATACCTACATGGAGCTGGAGTACGATTCCATAAACAATAGGGTAGACGACTAATTTTTATTTTAATGTCCGTCTGGTAGATTATTTAAAAACATTAGACACGTATTTTTTATTTTCTCACAGAAACGAATAGTTTCGAAGATATATTGATTTGAAATGTCGCGTGACGTCACTTCTCAGTACATTTTATACTAAGAAATGACGTTTTAGCCCCCACTCCTAAACTTTGATTCGTTTTATCTAAGTATTGTTTTATTATACGACAAAATATAAAAATACGTGTCTAATTTTTTTTCATTACCTAACTTACGGACTAATTATATTTTTAATTTTCATACCCTGTCATCATCCCCATTGCTGTTCTGAGGTTTTGTGTCTAGGTGTGGTTATATAGGTACCTACAATGAATGTATTTTTCATTAATCCCTTTGAGCACCGTCATTATAGACACAATTAAAGCACAATATGTTGCGGTCACCGGTGTCCTCGTGGTGTTTGACAGTTTAAACCCAAGTGGTAGAGTAATTTATAAAAACATTGTCCTATAGTCCCGGGAAACATAAACACAACTTATAAATATCTTGTTACTTACTAAGTTACTGCTACCTAGTTTTAAGTATTATTTAATATTTCTTTATATTACAATATCATTTCATGTACAGTCAATAAAGCAATAGGCATAGTAGGGGAGCGAGGGGCTTGTTGTAACAGTTTTCATTAAAACTCATATATCTTTGGATTTATTGATTATATTTCTACTAAATAAAGATGGGTGGATGCTATAACTCTTCCTCTACCAAATCAAGTAAAAATAATACCATAATTATGGGTCATTATTTTATAATCAATTATTTTCTAGATGAAGTGCGGTGTTACAACTTACCTCGTGCTTGGGGCAAGTTGTAACGTCTACCGGGGCAATTAGTAACGACAAAAAAACGACAATAAAACCTTTAATTATTTATTATTTGTTTATTTTTAACAAATTTGTCATTTTTTTAAAGTAAATATTATGTAATTCTTATCAAAAATCAACT